TCTACAAGGGGACATCCAATTTATTCATATCTCTAAAGTCTTTTAGCACACTGAGATAGTATCAATTTATAAAATACTTTAGGAGGCATGTTATGTCATTTTTTTTAAAAAAAAAATTGCAGATTGTCAAAAACAGATGGGATTTAGCATTATTAGTTTTTAAAATAGAGTCTGAAAAACCAGTAATTTTCTGTGTTGAACCAAGGGGTGGTAAACATTACTTTAAAAAGCAATATTGCATAAGTATAGTCCCATACAATAAAACTGGTCATAGAATAGAATAGAATTCTTTATTGGCCAAATGTGATTGGACACACAAGGAATTTGTGCTCTCAGTGTACATAAAAGAAAAGATACATTCATCAAAAATCATAAGGTACAACACTTAATGATAGTTATAGGGAACAAATAAGCAATTAAATCATATTAGGAAACAGTCAGTATAAATCGTAAGGATACCAGCAACAAGGTTACAGTCATACAGTCATAAGTGGGAGGAGATGCTTGTTAAAATGCCAGGTTTTTGAGATGTAAGAAAGTCAGACTATATAGATATATAAGCTGTACCATTCAATTGAAAAGCAAATTGAAATCTTTTGGGGAAATAACAATAGAACTAGAATAATATGGCTACATAAGTGTGCACACCCTTAAGCTAGTACTTTGTTGAAGTACCTTTTGATTTTATGACAGTATTGCGTCTTTTGGGGTAGGAGTCTATCAGCTGAGACATCTTGCCTTGGGAATCTTTGCCCACTCTTCCTTGCAAAAGCACTTCAAATCTGTTAGATTGCAAGGTCTATGCACAGACCTCCTCAGGTCACCTTGCAGATTTTCAATTGGATTCAAGTCTGCTTTGGTCAGGCCATTCCAAAACTGATTATCTTCTAGTTAAACCATTTTTTGGTTGATTTGGAGGTATGCTTTGGATAATTGTCATATTGAAAGGTGAAATTCCTTTTCATCTTCAGCATTTTAGCAGAAGCCTAAAGATTTTGTTCCAAAATTAACCAATATTTGGAACTGTTTGATATGTCTAATTTAATGAAAAGAAAAACTAGGGATGACATGATAGCAGCATTCCAATATCTAAGGGGCTGTGACAAAAACAGGGTGGAGGGGTCAAACTATTTTTCAAAGCACTTGAAGGCAGAACAAGAAGCAGTGGATGGAAGTCAAGGAGAGAACCAACCTAGAACTAAGGAGAAATTTCTGACAGAACAATTATTCAGTGGAACAACTTGCATCCAGAAGTTATGGGTGCTCCAACACTGGAGGCTTTTAAAGAGAGATTGAACCACAATTTATCTGAAATGTTATGGGGTTTCCTGGTTGAGCAGGGGGTTGGACTAGAAGACCTCCAAGGTCCCTTTCCAGTTATTGTGTTACTTTGTTCTGTTCATAATTGCCTCCACCTTGACTAAAAAGCCCTAGTTCCAGCTGAAGAAAAGCAGCTCCAAAGCATAATACAGGTAATCCCCGGGTTATGAGCATTCACTTAGCAAATGTTTGAAGTTACGCGATCAGCACCCTAGCATTTCCGAACAAGGCCCGAAACTACAAATCTTGCAGGACCATGGCAGTTGTTCACCCTTATGAACAACCACAAGGGCTCTGCAACATTCATATTGCCAGCCTTATTCGGCCATCCAGAGGCCTCACTTGGCAACATGCCGGCTGAAATGGAGCTTCTGAGGGGTGGATCCACCCATCAGAAGCCCCATTGTAGGCCGAAATGGGAGGTCTGCATAGGGCTCAATTGAGCCTCGGAGGGGCAGATCCAGCCCCCGGAGGTTCGGATCCGCCCCTGGAGGCTCCATTTCAGCTTGCAATGGGCTGGGGGAGGCAGTGGAGGGCCAAACGGCGCCTCAGAGGGGCGGATTCAGCCCCTAGAAGTTCAGATCCAGCCCCTGGAGGTTCCATTTCAGCCTGCAACAGACCGGGCGAGGCCCAAACAGGGCTCAGGATGCTGGAGTGGAGACAGCTTGCTAGATCTTCACATGGTAATTGACCCAGCACACCAGGTTGGGGGGGGAAGCAATTGTGGGGAACATGAGGTATTTCAGTGGGTCGGAGAAGCCTTGGGTGGTCTTAAGCAGGTGGCCTGTTCCATCAGTAGGTCCCCCAGGGCCTTCCCGACCCTGAAATACCTCATGTGCACTTAGCGAGCCTCGCATTCCATTAGCAAATGCATGGGGATAAGGACAGTGATCTCGTTCAAGGTACGAGATTCACTCCCAAAATCCTCAGGTTACAAATGAAATGGGCAGGCTCCATTACATTTGTAGCTCAAGAACTACCTGTACTGCCACCACCATTCTTCCCTGTGAATCTGGTGTACTATGGTGATGTACAGTGTTTTTGCGCCAAACATAGATTTTGGAATTTCAAATGTTCAACCTTGGTCTTATCAGACCATAACACATTTTCCTACATGCTTTTTTCAGATTTGATGTAGGTTTTTTTTTCAAAATATAACCAGGCTTAGATGTTTTTCTTTGTAAGAAAAGGCCCCCGTCTTGCCACCCTACCCCACAATCCAAACATATGAAGAACACAGGAGATTGTTGTCGCATGTAATAACAGCCAGTACTTGCCGGAACTTCCTGCAGCTCCTTTAATGTTGCTGTTTTTGACAGTCCCTTAGACCAGTTTTTTTATTTTTTTTATAAATTTTGGAGGGACATCATTTATTGGTAATGTCACTGTTCTGCCATGTTTTCTCCACTTGTTGATGACTGTCTTCACTGTGTTCCATAGAATATCAAATGCCTTGGAAATTTTTTTGTACCCTTCTCCTTACTGATACCTTCCAACAATGAGACCCCTTTGATGCTTTGTCAGTTCTTTGCAGACCATGACTTGTAAGAAACAACTAAATAAATGTCAGAAAAATCCTACTAGCACACCTGATCTATATATAGGCTTGGTCAGTATCACTTTAATTGATGGCAGATGTGTAATGACTACTATTTAATGTCAGTTTGGAAGTGATTGGTTAATTCTGAACACAGCACATCCATACCTATAAGAGCATGTGAACACTTATGGAACCACTTTATTGTAAGTTTTTATTGTTATTTTCCCCCTAAAAAATCTTAGTTTTTTTCAATTGAATTGTACAATTTATATTATGTTAAAAGTGGAAAAAATTCTGAAATGATTATCTTGGTCTGATTTTTTACATCTCAAAAACCTGGCATTTTAATAGGGGTGTGCAGACTCTATGGCCACTATAACATAGTGATTCTGTGGACCTTGGATTAATTTCCATTCAGAGATACAGAATGATCTGAAAATCAGGAATATAAGGTTCAAAAATGCACATTATGCATATGCAGAATATGCATACGATTCAACAAAATATATGTGTCTGCACAATTTTTTGCTAGAAACTAATGTGGGAGTTTGGCCATTTTCTTGCAGGTGATCAATCATTGCATTCTGATGTTTTTCCTAATTTGCTTTATATCCGCCACTTCTTGTACCCATATTAATAATTAATAATTTGTTGTATCTTGGTATATATTTTGTAATTCAAATAGGAAACCAGCTCTGTGTGATATTATTCACCCATTGAATGAAATTTTGCTATTGTCTTCCTTCAATTAGCAATAATAATTTAAAAGTTAGCATAAATATATATAACTGGTTTAAATCTTAATTTTAGTTCCAATAAAGATCTTCTCTGAGATAAACTCATGTTTATCAGCATTTAAACCTTCTTCTAGCTATGCTATTAATTACAATTGATCCAGTTAGGTGTTACAAAAATTGATTAATCTACAAATACTTTTGCAATAAAGCCTGCATATTGTCATGCACATTTAACTTTGGAATGTTCATGCATGTAGCTTTGAAATTGTTTTGCAGTGTGGTGCTAATGAAAAGTGCTTTTCAGATTTTACTCAACTATACTACTGATCGTGCTGTGTCAAATAATTCCAAATTATTTGATACACTCCTTGTGTTTTACCTCATTTTTCATAATTTATTGAGGATACCTCTTTCCTGAAGGGCGTATTGTATTAATTGTATTACAGGTAGTTCTTGAGTTACAAATGTAATAGAGCCTTCCTATTCCATTCGTAACCCAAGGATTCATGGGAGTGAATCTCATACCTTGAACACGATCACTCCCTCCTTTCACCCATGCATTCGCTAATCAAATGCCTGGTTCGTTAAGTGCACATGAGGTATTTCGGAGTGAAGAAGGCCATGGGGAGCCTAGTGATAGAACAGTAGGATAGAACAGGCCACCTGCTTAAGACTACCCAAGGCCTCCCCGACCTGCTGAAATATGTCATACTCCCCACAATTGCTTCCCCCAACCTGCCATGCCAAGTCACTTACCATGCAAACATCTCTCAGCCACGTGCGCCCCTCTGACACTCTGTTTTGGTATGTGCAGGCCTCACCCAGCACTCTGCAGGCCAAAACAGAGCTTTGGAGGGGCATCCTGAGGTGGTGCAGTGGTTAGAGTGCAGTACTGCAGCTTCTTCAGCTGACTGCTAGATCAGCAGATCAAATCTCACCGGCTCAAGGTTGACTCAGCCTTCCATCCTTCCGAGGTGGGTAAAATGAGGACCCAGATTGTTGGGGGCAATATGCTAATGCAATATGTTAATATGCAAAATGATATATGCTAACTTTGTAAACCGCTTAGAGAGGGCTGTAAAGCACTTTGAAGCGGTATAGAAGTCTAACTAATAAATAAATAATCCCTCCGAATCTCTGTTTTGGCCTGCAAAGTGGAGTGGAGGGGAATAGGCAAGATGAATGTTGCAGAGCCTCTGTGATTGTTCGTAAGGACGAACAACTGCCGTGGTTCTGCAACATTTGTAGTTTTGGGATTTGTTTGTAAACACTAGGGGGCGTTTATCGCATAACTTTGAATGTTTGCTATGGGAACTCTCATAACCCAGGGATTACCTGTAATTATGATCTTTACAGATATTCACAAGACAGATCAATTTATGCCTCTCTCTTTTTTTTTACAGGCAACAATGTAGTTAACCTTTTCCACATGGCAGATGACTTGGGCCGAGCAATGGAAACCTTAGTGACAGTGATGACTGACAACAAATTAGTAGAATAACAAGTTCTATTTTACAACTTCAGGCATAACCTGCATGGTTTTTATAATATTCATATGATGGAGGATTAGACTGTAAGAGTTTACATGAAAACAAATCTATATTTTTGTGAAGGATAGTGGTTCTATACTGTAGATTTCAGTAGTTTCTTAAGTCTGTTATTGTTTTGTTAACAATGGCAGGTTTTACACATCTATGCAATTGTACAAAACATAAAGAAAACTACATGTAAAATCTTGACAGCTAAATAACTTGCCATTTCTTTATATGGAACGCATTTTGGGTTGTTTAAAAAGAATTTATAGCTGTTATAAAGAAAGATTGTAAACAAAGTGTGCTTTATAAAAATGTTTATATAAATCCCTAAAAAAACAAAGAAAAAAAATGAGGCAGTGCATTTGTTTAGCATCACTTCAACTTGGTAATTATACACAACAGATATTCATGTTCTGTGTTCTTTTCCTTAAAATCAAACAGAATTTCTGCAACACCAAGCAGTCAGCCTACATTTCTTCTTGTATCTGACTAGCTCTTGCTTTAAAATTATTATTTTCCAAAGTTTCTAATTGAGATAGCTTTCCATGTCCTGAGCAAGTCTTACTAGAATTATCCAGCTAGTTGGCAATAATATGAAAGAGCACATTACATGACAAATATCAGAATTTGCAAAAATAAGATAAATTGAACTCATATTCTAAACTCTTTATTTCCTCTATACTTTGAATCTGAATGTTAAAAGTAAACACAAAATAGTAATTGCCTTATTGAATTATACCAGTGGACTTAGGTGTCCTTATCCTGCCTCTGGCACTGGCCAGCACCTTAATGTTTCAAAGTAAAAGTATGATTTGCTTTCATGCCCTGTGATGCCACTTTTTATCAGATATTCTGCATCTGTGTGTGTATTGGGATGAAGACTTGACTACAGATACCAGTCTGTAATCTGTTTAATCTTTAGATTATTCATATTATTATTTAATATTTCATTTTTATAGAAAAAGTATTGAGTATTGAAAATTGCCTAAATTCTTTAAAACACACAAAGCACTAGTTTTTGCCTTGTAACAAATTCCAAGGACCCACACCAGTTCCACACCAACAGTAATAAAACTGAATAGTGTGACACAATGGTAAACATCAACTCTATCAGTTGCTTAAAGTAGTCACAGTACTTCATGAGAAGCTGATTGTCCAAAATGAAATCCAGCAATCCTACTCTACAAGTAATGCCGCACAATTAACAATGACTCAGGAGAGGGATGATAAAAAACAGATGTTAGAAAAAAGTCTCTCAAATTTACTATTATAAAATGTTGAACAAAAGCTTCATAATTTCTTTTTTTTTCCTATCAGCCTTTAATTCCATTGTCTAAAGACAGATTTTTACCACCTAATAAACTTTAATACTTTGCAAAAGTTAAATCTGTTACCTCTTGTATAATTAAAACACAGGAGAAAAATATATTTTATTTTTTAATGCTACTTAACATTCAACATGGGTAGTCATGGTATTTCTAACTCACTTTCGTTTTGTGGTGTTCCTGACAATTATGTAGAGAAGGTATGCATCGTCAACCACTTATCCATTGTGTAAACTGATGTTCTTTTAATACCAATACAGTATACAATTAAAATTTAGCAATTCTCAAAGAAAGTCCATACATTTTCATGCTTTTTTAAAGACTTTGGGTACAATTCAGTCTAGCATGAGCACAGTGATTACCCACAAATAAATTAGTCTAGAGTTTTAAAAAGCTTGCTCTTTCTTTAGTGAGTCTTGTATGCATCTCCCTGAGACGACAAGCTTTCCCTTTCATTCGGGAGTATTTTCTTCACTTCTGAGGATGCACACTAAGATGAGCATTAAAAGGGCTCTTTTATGTCCTACACGAACCCTACTCTTTGTAAGGACCGCACTGATGCAATGGTAGACTGAATCATAGGGTTCATTTACAAATGAATATCCTATATATTTCATACCCTTTATGTAAGATTTTACAGATTCAGTTATAGATGGGATTTTTTTTTATGCCTTAAGTTCTCTTAAATTTTAAAAGATTTGAGACTAATAGAGTGCACAACTATTTTCATCAGGGTTATTTCTTTTTTAGACATTAGTTTTGAAGTGAGTCTGTCGAAAATATAAAAAAGAGTTTAAGAGCTTTATTGCTGCTTTTAAAGAGTTTCTTTGGAACTATTTCATGTTCCTTATATCCATACACTACTAAACTATAAAGCATTTTCAGTATAACCGAATATTGTCTGGTATGTTATACCATTTTCATGCAGTACTGATTTATTACTTGGGTATCATTTATTGTGTTCTAACATCAACACTGTAACATTTACTAGTTATTTTTATAAATTTCAGTTTTACTGCATTTCACAACATATTGAATTTTACCAAATATATGCCTTACTTACTGTATTGTATACTGCTTTACTGTGTATATCAATAAAGCATGTAATTATGTTACAAAGTGTGCCATTTTTACTAGTATAGCAGCACTGGATTCTTCTTCCACAGGAGTGTCAGTAGGAACAGAATAGGAGGGAGAGAAGCTGCAGGATTACATCTGCGATGCACACTTGCACATATATTTATTTTAACTTGCACTTTGAAGTCAACACTGCTATTAAGTGGCATTTGAGAGAGAGACTATTCTCCCTGTCAAAGAAGTCATAGAATGATAAACAAAACAGTTTATTTTCTCTAAAAAAATTATCAATCATTTAGTGAACATCCAAAACAGACAATTACAACTGCATAGAGAGCAGTTGTACATCTGGCTTGCATGTAACATCTGCTAGCAATTTCTTAATCAAGTATTCCAGAGATAGTATTGTGGTTATGAAGCTACTTTATAGAGTTGCTGATAAATACAGCCCTAATATAGAACAGACTACTTATGGGACCCATGATGAATTATAGATAGTTCTTATTTAGCAACTGCCTCATTTAGCAATGGTTTTCAGTTACAATAGTGAGGAAAAAGTAACCATGACAAGTTCTTGCATTTATGACTTTCATAGGTGTATAAAACAGAAAAGCTGAAACAATCATAAACGCAGTTGCGGTTTCATTAAGCAACTGCTTTGCTTAAGGACAGAATTGCTTGTCCCAGTTGTGGTAACTAAATGGGGACTACCTATACATGTCAAGTTGCAATAAATAAAACAATGAACTACACGTGTAAGGTATTAAAAGAAGTTTTAAAAAACTTGCTGAAATATATTTTCAACCCTACAAAAGACAATCAAATCCATACAGTCTAGAAAACCGAAGCAAGTAACTGAGGCACAATAAAAAGTGAAGTGTCACTTTGTATTTACCTAGCTACAGCTATAACTACAAAGCAAGGAAGCCTGAAAGCCAAACTAAAACCTACACAAAAACTGGCCAAAATGATTTCTCTAATCTTCATCACTCCATACTTAGAATCCAGTTCAGGGGTGAAATTCAGCAGATTCTGGAAAACCTGTAGTGGAAAGTTTGAGTAGTTCGGAGAACTGGCAAATACCACCTCTGGCTGGCCCCAGAGTGGGGTGGGAATGGAGATTTTGCAGTATCCTTCCCTGCCATGCCCACCAACCCACACCACGCCCACCAAGCCATGCCCACAGAACGGGTAGTAAAAAAAATTTGAATTCCATCACTGATCCAGTTCAATAAGAAAGAAAAAATATTCAAACATTTGACTATTCAAACAGCTAGGTATATTTCTTCAGAATAAATTTAGATTTACATCAGAAGTGTGCAGTGCAGTAAGGTGAATGATCTTCCAGCTGACAAGAAAGAAGACATGCTTGATGGAAACATCTCTGTATGAAAAATCAGAACATGAAAAATGGGTGCAGAGAAGGGTGGAAAGGGAACAGTATATAGCTATTCATCTCTTGTTTTGAAAATATAATAGCATATTGAAAGGCTCACATGATGTTCTCACATGAAGATAGGTGACATTCCTCTTTAAAAGATGGGATTAGATCCATGATTAAAGCCAAACTACTGGTTAAACAGGCCTTTAGAATAACCTAACATAGAGTAGCAGATATTTGTTTGTTTAATATGCCACCCATCTCACTGTTGCAACTCTGGATGTCTTACAAAATGATAAAAAGGATAAATATAAAAACAATTAAAATCAATTGGAATATAGACCAAAAACCAAGAGAACAGAAAGCATGGTAGGAAGGCTCTTCTCTCTTATCCCATCAACTACCTCCAGCATAGAGGGCCCCTATCAGGCCCCAACCCACCCAGCACAGCCACATTTTAATGTCCTTGAAGTCCAAGAGGGTGGAGGCAGATCTTATCTTTGGTGGCAGAATATTTTAAAGAGGCCACAACAAAAAGGCTCTTCTAGACCCCACCAGCGAAAAGTCCTTCATGGATGAGAGCCATAGCAAGCCTCTTCTGAAGTAAGGGCCAATTACATTGGAATAAGCACCTCAGATATTCTGGACCCATATCATAAAGGGCATCAATATTTCCAGCAAAAGAATAAATAGATGTTCGTTATTTTTTAATTATTTTATTTTTGAATTTATTTAATTGGATAAAATAGTAAGCTTAAAAAGAATATTATTCATTTTAATCTTCAATTTATTCCACAAGAGTGTAAAAATTATTTTGCTTTATCTAATGTCTAGAAAGTTTCAAATCATATTTCAGAGCAGAAGATTGAACTTTAAAGTTTATTTTGTAAAAGAATATCTCGCATTACATGGCAGGATACATATCAGGCATTACTGTAACTACATTCCTTTCCTCTGAGAAAGTGTTTGTCTTAAAGATAGTCGCCATGGGTACCAAGGCAGCAAATGATAGTAATATCAAGGCAGATTAAAGACATCCCATGATAATTTAAATTAAAACCTCAAAATGAGTTAATTAAAAAAGAGATTATGGGTATGTTTCTTAAGTATATCACAAAAGGAAATGCCATTATTACTACACATTAGTATTGTGAACAATTTCCTTGCATATACTATACATTTCTTTAATGGTTAAAAACATGGTAGGTTGTTTCTAAAAGTGCTGTGTCCTTACATTGTATATGTTTTCCTCAGAATATTTGTTGGCTTTATTGTTTATTTAGCCTCTTGATAAAATTGGGAAACAAATTAGTTATCAATATCTTTATACAAAGATATTATATAAACCAGGGGTGTCAAACTCAAGGCCCGTGGGCTGGATGCGGCCCACAGGGTGCTTAGATCTGGCCCACAGAGCCTCCCTGGAAACAGCGAAGGACAGGCCTGCTGTGCCTCTGCCAGTGAAAACAGAGCTTGGGAGGGCCGGATGCGGCTCTCCCAAGGTCCATTTTTTGTTGTGACAGCCTCCTGCAAACCTCTGCCAGTGAAAACAGAGCTCAGGGGGCTGCTCATGGCCCTCCTGAGCTCTGTTTTCACTGGCAGAGAGCTGCAGGAGGCTCTAGTGGCTGAAAACAAAGTCCGGGCCTCCCCCAACTCCGTTTTTGCTGACAGAGGGCTGCAATAGGCCATGGTGGCTGAAAATGGAGCCCAGGCAGGCTGTGAGTGGGCTCCCCGAGCTCTGTTTTCGCTGACAGAGGGCTGCAGGAGGCTGTCGCAGTTAAAAACAGTCCCAGGGGGCTGCATGCAACCCCCCCTGACCTGTTTTCGCTGGCAGAGGGCTGCAGGAGGCTGTTGCAGCTGAAAGCAGCCCCCCTGACCTGTTTTTGCTGCAGAGAGCTGCAGGAGGCTGTCGCAGCAGAAAAGGGAGCCCAGGCAGGCCACATGCCCCACCCGAGCTCCATTTTCACTGAGAGATGGCTAGCAAAACAAACTACTAGGAAAAGTGGCATTTGATCACAAGGCAAGGAGGCATTGAGAAATATTTCCCCTTTTGCATTTGAGCATCCAAGAAGGGGCAAGAAAGGAGAAAGGGAAAGAGGAAAGACAAACAAAAAGAAGGGAAGATGGGAAGAGAGCAAGGAAGGAAAAAGGAAAGATGGGAAGGAAGAAAGAATAAAGAGAAGGGAAAAGAAAAGGGAAAAAGGGAAAAAGGAAAGAGAAGAGAAGGGAAGGGAAGGGAAGGAGGGAGGGAAGGAGGGAGGGAGGAAGGAGGGAGGGAGGGAAGGAAGGAAGGGAGATTATAATGAGAGGGAGGAAGGATCTGAGAGAAGTCCTGCCTTAGCATTTGGCCACCAGCCCTTTCACCATCCCCTTGTCGCCATCCCCTCCTGACCTCCCTGGTGGTCTCCCATCCAATCGCTGAGGATGCTTTGGTTACAAAGCAAGGTCTCCACACTTGAAGAGGGAGTGGGCCTCCCTCTGACCCACACACTTTGCCCTTCCCCACACACCATGAGCAACCTGGCCAAGGAGAGTGAGAACAGCAGCAGCAGCCTTGAGAAGGAGGTAAGCACAGCCGGGCACCCACCCGGGGAAGCTGGGTGGGGTTGTGGGGTCCTGGTGTCCTGGGAGCTCAAGGGCTGGGCTGGGTGCTTGCCCTCCACCGCCTAGGGCTCTGAACAGCCTGCGCCGCTGTCCAGGGGTCCTCTGTGCGGCCTGAGAGGGACGGCAAGGCTCCAGGGTTTGGCGCTCTCCCTGGTCTCGCCTTCACTGGAGACAATGGATCCCCCCAGCACTGCCTGGCCACCTTAGGTGCCCCTGACATGAGTGATGTTGAGCTGGCCACTCCCCCAAGCCACTCCCACCCCAGCCACTCCCCCCGGCCACACAAACACACCCCGGTCCCCCGAGGTCAAACACAATCCTGATGCAGCCCTCAATGAAATCAAGTTTGACACCCTGGATAAAGCAAAACAAATTTTCTCTATTAGAGTTACTATATGATGTCAAAATATTCAGTGAAGGCAATAAAAGTTGGTAAAATTTTATCAAATCAGTAAATACTAACTTTGACTTTTAATTCCAAAAGCATGATTGTAAAGTGGTGAGAATTGATGAAAATGTGATGTTATTTCAATATACAATGTTAATAGTTCACAGATTGAAGGATGTATTTTGGAGAAAAAAATAGTGATACGACACATCACCATAATATGTTGCTAGCAGTTATGAAAAACCAGTTATTTGCACAGTTTCCGAACTGTAGAAAACATTTTTAAGAAAATAATATAATAACCACAATAAGTATATAAGGCAGAGTTTGAAATACCCAAGTAATATAGAACACAGGTAATTAGAATGAAGTTGTGTAATTTGAGGCATAATTATTTTATTACTAGCTTTAGAAAATAAATCAAACAAAATGGAGACTGCACCCTTCCCATAATCCTACCCTGCAATCCCATCTAAACCATTTAATAGAAGTTCCTTCACCAGCTAATAGCACAGTTCAAGGGCAGCCCTAACGAGATAATTGCAACATAAAGAAATGCCAAACTTCCATCTTCTGGCAGGCTGATGACCCATTCTTTGAACAGTGGACTCCCTCAGCTTTGCTGCCCTTTTGAAGGTCCATTTTGCCTAATAGAACTCATCCATGTAC